ACTCACTACAGATTCCATCACTTAAAATAGTCCGCTCATTAACAAATAATACGAAGACAAAAAAGGGACAACAAAGGTACAAAAAACACTGAAGAGTGTGGTTGTTTTATTTACTAATATAAACGAACCAAAACAAACAGCATCAATGCATTAAGACATGTTCACAATTCACAGATACTCAAATTCAACACAAGCATTTTAAAAGCCAGCAGCCTGGATGAGTAAGATTTTGCACACTGGTAGGTTTTCTGTTAAGACATATCACTGTTTGGGACCAGAAACTTGTGTTCTTTGATTAAACACTAAGTAGAACTTCAACCTTTATGATATAAGGAAGTAAAATTTAAAACATTTTATAATATAAATTGGACACAGTTAAATTACCGAAATAGAGTTCATGTAACACAGGAAAAACACTGTTCTTTGGCCACATAATGAGAAGAGAGACATTGGAGAACATCTTGACAACTGGAAAGATCAGTGGAAAGAGGCGTAGAGGCAGACTAAGAGAGATGATGCTGGATGGGCTGAAATGATGGCATAGAGGGATATCATCAAGAGAACTTTTCCAAGCTACCAGGGATCGTGATCTGTCAAGACGCATGAGCGCCTACACCAGCTGGCAGGGCACATGATGATGATGAGCACAGGAAAAACCAAAGTTATCCAGACAATAATATTCATAAATTTAAGAAATATACTGAATTGTGAATTATACTGTGTATGACCGGTGTCATAAAAGACTGACAAGACTAACAGCAAAACTAATTAATAATTAGAACCAACAGAATTTATTTTTGTTTACAAATATGAGAGCATCTCACAAGAGACATCATTCAGTGATAAAGTAGTTTTAAAATTAAAAAAAAACTACTTGTCTTTGATATGTGGAAATGGGACTAAATCTATAATGAAAAACCAACAAGATACATATTTTTGAAATTGTTAGAAATTTACTTAATTTGTTTTTTAAATGTTAGAGAATAATATTCATCCTGTGCTGATAAAAACAGTCATAGAAGATAAACAGTCAGATCATGGCATTTGGATTCAAATACTGTGTGCTAAACTTTCAATTCATATAATCTTTAATAGTTAGCAAAATAAACTCTTCTATTATACACTATATCGAAAGTCAAGTAAAAAAAAGTCATACTAAATGTGTTTCCAAGTATAATGAAGTTCAATGTCTGAGATAATATAAATAAGATGTGACAATCACTTTAACAAGAAACGTCTGCAGTTATTTTACTTAACTGAATAATCTGACACTGAATATAAAGTTCTGTCTGGGTATAAATGTTTGATCATGCTGAAATATGAGTTAAATTTGGGAAGATCAACCTGACTGCTTTGTAGTTTATTACATTTAATCCAGTTTTTTTTCCTATCCTGTGCAATCACTTCTATATCATTGGTGGATTCCAGTCCATGACCTTTGGCCTCTCTCCTCAATGTGTGCCTTAGGATTTCTCTTGGATGTCTGTTTCCTCAATCCCTCTATTTCCCATTTGTGCGCCTGTTTGGTGTCTGTCTTTTCCCAGAATATACTCACAGCACCATCTTCTCTGTCTTATAACTGTTTATACCAATGCTTGCCTAGACATTTCTCCTGCCTTTGCTGGGGATTAATCCTGGACCAGTGTCTTAACAGGCAAGTATTCAAAGCACTATACTATCATAGCTCTTATAGTAGATACACGTGGGATAAAAGGAATAGACACTGACATCAAGTGACTGACAAAGTTATCAATCACTTTCTCTAAAACAACATAAGCCCTCCAAATCACCACAAACAACTCACATTGCACACCATTAAAAACAAACAGCATAATCTATTACATGCACAGCAGAAGTAAACAGGGTCACAGTGCGAAAATGAAACCAAAAGGCACCGCTTACTTCAATACTATCCTGCAATATCAAAATATATAAACTCACTGGGGCAGAAGCACAAACAAGTAACCCAAGTGTCAAATACTCACCTTTTGTATAAAATAATTACTAGACTGGTTACAGAATATTGACTATGGGATATTATTTTGTACATTATTTATAAGTCAGCTGCATTTTCTATGATTTAACAGTGTTTTAGTAACGATGTATTAGAAGAGACATAAAAAGAAAAAGAAAAAAGAAATCAGAAAATAATATTCTGTGCACTTCATTTCTTTTTGGCTATTAATAAAAGAGATGAAATGAGCAAAATAGGCTTGACAGGTAAGCTAGGTGGAGGGTGGACTAGCCATGGACCAGGCAGATATACTGAATGATTTACAAGAAATTAGAAATTTACAACTAAGAAATGACAAACTGCAACCATGACCAGATTCCAAGAACAGAATGTTCAGCGGGGAGGTGGGGGGGGGGAGGGGGGAGGGGGTGGGTGTGCTGGTAGAGAGAGACAAGGTCACAAACAGATCAGGCAGAGAGAGACAAGGTCACAGACAAACAGATCAGGCAGGGAGAGACAAGGCCACAGACAAACAAATCAGACAGAGAGAGACAAGGCCACAGACAAACAGATCAGGCAGAGAGAGACAAGGCCACAGACAAACAGATCAGGCAGAGAGAGACAAGGCCACAGACAAACAGATCAGGCAGAGAGAGACAAGGCCACAGACAAACAGATCAGACAGAGAGAGACAAGGCCACAGACAAACAGATCAGGCAGAGAGAGACAAGGCCACAGACAAACAGATCAGACAGAGAGAGACAAGGCCACAGACAAACAGATCAGGCAGAGAGAGACAAGGCCACAGACAAACAGATCAAGCAGAGAGAGACAAGGCCACAGACAAACAGATCAGGCAGAGAGAGACAAGGCCACAGACAAACAGATCAAGCAGAGAGAGACAAGGCCACAGACAAACAAATCAGGCAGAGAGAGAGACAAGGCCACAGACAAACAGATCAGGCAGAGAAAGAGAGAAACAAGGCCTCAGGCAAACAGAGAGAGACAAGGCCACAAACAGATCAAGCAGAGAGAGAAGTCCACAGACAAACAGATCAGGCAGAGAGAGACCAGGCCCCAGACAAACAGATCAGGCAGAGAGAGACAAGGCTACAGACAAACAGATCAGGCAGAGAGAGACAAGTCCACAAACAAACAGATCAGACAGAAAGAGACAAGGCTACAGACAAACAGATCAGGCAGAGAGAGACAAGGCTACAGACAAACCGATCTATCAACTATTTTGTGAATAATCCATGATTTCTGATGTGTACACATCTAGTCACAGCAAGGCCCCGATCATCACAGGTGATGTTGTCAGTTAAAAAATAATGCCCTTTACGAAACCAATTCCTTTAATATGCCTTCAAATGTACGGAATTAATACGAAAAAAGTGATATGGTGCCTGACCTCTCTGAAATTAATTCCTAGCAAATGAAATTACAATATATGATATAGACAATGCAGGATCAAATAAGAGACAGATAGCAGACTCAAATCTTCTGCAACCATCTTGATTTCTTGCTGAACTATCTTAATCATGCAACTCTGGTGTGTACTCAATTACATCTAGGAAACCATGTGTGCACCTGAAATAACGCCTAACTATTTATACACCTGTGCATCAGCTAAACTTGAAAAGGCACACTGTTTCCCACAGACAGTTTCAGCATCTGCTGTCTATTAAAATAATGGCAGTTCTGATTACTGTTTATCAAAAATCATCAAGGCAGATTTAAAAAAAAAAAAAAAAAAAAAAAAAAGGAAACAAGGGAGATCATTATTATATCAAACAGATAGCAAACTTTGGGTTATTAGAGGCAAAAAAGCTACACAGCAGTAATTAATTTAAAATGCTTACTCAAAAGTGAATTTACAACAAACTATGACTAAAATGCCATAATACAGAGCACACAAAAGGAAAGATGTTACTCAATTTACCATAAATAGTTTATACAACCCACACAGAGCTTTTATTTTGTAATAAAAAAAGTTTTTTTTGGTCATTTGAAATGAAAAACCCTGCCCTAAATTAGACACCACTGTAGACACATAAGAAAACACATCACATTTTTTTGACACACAAATTATTTCAGCATGTTCATAATACAAATAGATCTGACTGGTATACTCAGTGTACACTGGCAAAATGAAACAACTGAAAGCAGACTGAACCACAAGTGGATCATCTCAATTCTGTTCTTGTTTAAACTTGTGTGGCTTTCTGCTGATAGTTACACAAAAACAGCATTATAAACTCAATGCCTATGAACTGAACGTTATGTTTTGGGGTCATTATCCCAAAGTTTACATGTTTTTATTTTTTTTATATTTTTCCCCTTTAGGATTTCATGCTGAAAGATTAAGACCAAGTGATTCAAACAGTCATTACTCAGAATCCAACAACAGCTATTCCTAAAACCCTGTAACACCATAAAACAGTTATATGAGTGCACACTAAGTAACCTTAGTCCAAACTGGTATGGTTCCCAGCGTGAACATGTAATTTGCCAAGATTCAGATTTTAAATCTGATAAACTTTATAACTACTTAAAATTCAGAAAAAGGAAATATACAATTTATTTACAATTTAACCTGGCTTAGCTAATACAGCAGCGACAATGAATGCTATGAAATTTATACCAACGATTTACTTTACGATTTATTTATTTCTGTTACTACTGTAAATAAAAAAGTAAAGAATTTAATACTCTTATTAATGAAAATGTATAGTCTGCCAGATATTTTTTTTTCAACTTTGATTTATTTGACAATTTAATTTATGCAGCTGAAACTCAAGAAGAAATGAAAAAGAGAATGATAACCTCAGGTATTTTCTTGAACGGCTGCTTTACAATATGCTCACACCGAAATCTATTGCTTTTCTTTTTTAAATGAACAGTCTGTCATGATAAAATATTGAAAACTGGATAACACACTGACATTTGGGCAGATCGAAAAAAAAAAAACATCATCATCAGCCAGCATCATTGTTTCAGGAACTGGAAATGCTGCTTCTCATGCCTACATCAAATACAACTCGTGCTAACACTGTCCTCGAGGAAAGAACTCAGGAGCCAATGGATTTAACTTGCTGGTAACAATCATCTGAAAGAAGTAATAAGACTCTTTCAAACATACATTTCAAAGAACATTACAACTCTGCTGGTCAACAGCTAAATAAAAGGCATAATCAACTGGTGGGTGTCCTGTTTCTGTACACAGGGGGGAAGGGGGGGGGGGGGGGGGTTAGAAGGAAACATACCAATGCAATTACAAGTATAGCCCCAGATGTGCTTATACGGGTTCTTCAGCAGTGAAGGACGTGTTTAAAAATAGTATTTTTCCTGATGTATGAAAACTTAAGGGACACCCTGAATTATTCCTAATGTTGAGAAGCATGTCATGTGTTTGGCGGACATTAGTGTTCTGTGGCTTGACATGAGACTTGTACTCAATTATATTACCCAGGACCAGTAAACTTAATTAAATTACATGGTAAAAGCAAATAGGCTGATTAAATTACATGAGACAAGTGATATGTTCAAGTTTCAATGGATCAACATCATGGCACACGGGTGTAACCCATAAGAGCTCCGTTCTTCTAACTCAAGCCTGAGTCTAAGAATCTCAGGGCAGTGCATGAACTCTGTTACACCGGCGAGGATACTAAAATACTTTACGTAGATTTTAAACTCTAAATTTTGCCCCGGCAGCGCCGTTAGTCTACTCTTTTTGATTTCCAACTGCCAAGGGATTTTTTTAGGTGCACAACAATACACACGGGCATCCAGTCTTACTAACCAGAGACCAGGGGGAAATTACTAGAAATCCACGTGAAAAAAATCCCAGCCTTCACCGGAGCTTGAACCCAGGACCTCTAGCACTCGAGGCAGAAACCATGCCTCGAGATCATACAGCCCCCCGAGACAAGTAATCATTAAATGACATCGGACAAGTAGACTGGGTTCATTAAATACAAGGAGCAAGTAAATTTAGTTCATTACATTACAGGGCCAAGTAAATGCAGTTCACTACATTACTTTACATGGGACAAGTAAACTCAGACCACCAACACTGCTTAAACAATGGTGGATGTGTGAAGAAGACTAATTTTTGCAAAGGTAGGAAGATAGCATGTGGATGTCAAGTAATTGAGTGGGAATGATATGTCTTGTCATAAATATCTCAGCTGCCCTGTCAGTAAATCAGTAACTCAACAAGAGGTACCCAGTTCAATGTATTATTTCTAGTTGCTGAAATGGTAGAAAACATTTATCAATGTTGACTGAATTTATACAGGTTGGAAAAACACAATTTATGAGAAGGAAACACTATACCACTCTCCTTGTGCTTGATTACTATTCTATGACACATGACAGTGGTATACATGACTAGTTTATTATATAGGACTGGTATGACTAGATTATGACAGACTGATATACATGTTGACTAGTTTATGCTATAAGACTGGTATACATGGTGACTAGTTTATGCAACATAAAAACACAATTTATGAGAATGAAACAGTATACCACTCTCCTTTTGTGCCTGATTACTATTCTATGACACATGACAGTGGTATACATGACTAGTATAGGACACAAGACAGTGGTACATATAATGACTAGTTTATGATATAGGACTGGTATGACTAGATTATGACAGACTGATATACATGTTGAATAGTTTATGCTATAAGAGTGGTATACATGTTGACTAGTTTATGCTATAAGAGTGGTATACATAGTGACTAGTTTATGAAATTAGACTGTTATACATGGTGACTAGTTTATGACAGACTAATAAATATGGTGACTAGTTTATGATACAAGACATATTTATAATGACTAGTTTATGATACAAGACCGATATACATGTTCACTAGTTTATGATACAAGACCGATAAACATGTTGACTAGTTTGTGACACAAGATTGGCAAAAATGTTGACTCGTTTATGATACAAGACTGATATACATGTTGACTTGTCTATGACATAAGACTGGTATACACGTTGACTAGTCTATGACATAAGAGTGGTATACATGTTGACTAGTCTATGACATAAGACGGGTATACATGTTTTCTAGTCTATGACATAAGACTGTGGTATACATGTTGACTAGTCTATGACATAAGACGGGTATACATGTTTTCTAGTCTATGACATAAGACTGGTATACATGTTGACTAGTCTATGACATAAAAGTGGTAAACATGTTGACTAGTCTATGACATAAGACTGGTATACACGTTGACTAGTCTATGACATAAGACTGGTATACACGTTGACTAGTCTATGACATAAGAGTGGTATACATGTTGACTAGTCTATGACATAAGACGGGTATACATGTTTTCTAGTCTATGACATAAGACTGGTATACACGTTGACTAGTCTATGACATAAAAGTGGTAAACATGTTGACTAGTCTATGATGTAAGACGGGTAAACATGTTGACTAGTCTATGACGTAAGACGGGTGTACATGTTTACTAGTCTATGACATAAGAGTGGTAAACATGTTGACTAGTCTATGACATAAGACTGGTAAACATGTTGACTAGTCTATGACATAAGAGTGGTAAACATGTTTTCTAGTCTATGACATAAGACGGGTATACATAGTGACTAGTCTATGACATAAGATTGTGGTATACATGGTGACTAGTCTATGACATAAGATTGTGGTATACATAGTGACTAGTCTATGACATAAGACTGCGGTATACATAGTGACTAGTCTATGACATAAGACTGTGGTATACATAGTGACTAGTCTATGACATAAGACTGTGGTATACATAGTGACTAGTCTATGACATAAGACTGGTATATATGCTGACTAGTTTGTCATAAGACTGGTATATATGTTGACTAGTCTATAATATGACTCTTATACATGTTTAATATATGACACAAATTTGGTATAGATGTTGATTACACTGGTATACATGATGACTAGTTTTATGACATAATACTATTCTGACACGACACTGGCATACATGATAACAAATCACATGTCTATGACACCCAGATATGCCCACAACCAAACATTTACACTTACATGCATGCATACATACACACACATACATACACACATCTATATATACACCTACATTTTTACACATACATAAATACATACATACATACATACATACATACATACATACATGCATTCATACCCAAATACACACACATACACCCACATACTTACACAGCTACAAATGCATCTATACATGACAACTAGTCTATGACACACTGGTACACGCAATGAGTCAGTGACACACTGGTATACATGATGGCTAGTCTATGACACACTGATATACATGATGACTATTCATTGACACACTGATATACATGGTGACTAGTCAATGACACACTGATATACATAATGACTAGTCTTTGACACACTGATATACATGGCTAGTCTTTGACACACTGATATACATGACTAGTCAATGACACACTGATATACATGGTGACTAGTCAATGACACACTGATATACATAATGACTAGTAAATGACACACTGATATACATGACTAGTCAATGACACACTGATATACATGATGACTAGTCAATGACACACTGGTATACATGATGATTAGTCTATGACACACTGGTATACATGATGACTAGTCTATGACACATTGGCATATATGAACTGTCTATGACACACTGGTGTATATGACTAGTCTATGACACACTGGTGTATATGACTAGTCTATGACACACTGGTGTATATGAACAGTCTATGACACACTGGTGTATATGACCAGTCTATGACACACTGGTGTATATGACTAGTCTATGACACACTGGTGTATATGAACTGTCTATGACACACTGGTGTATATGAACTGTCTATGACACACTGGTGTATATGACTAGTCTATGACACACTGGTGTATATGACTGGTCTATGACACACTGGTGTATATGAACAGTCTATGACACACTGGTGTATATGAACGTCTATGACACACTGGTGTATATGAACTGTCTATGACACACTGGTGTATATGAACAGTCTATGACACACTGGTGTATATGACCAGTCTATGACACACTGGTGTATATGACTAGTCTATGACACTGGTGTATATGACTAGTCTATGACACACTGGTGTATATGACTAGTCTATGACACACTGGTGTATATGACTAGTCTATGACACACTGGTGTATATGACTAGTCTATGACACACTGGTGTATATGACTAGTCTATGACACACTGGTGTATATGACCAGTCTATGACACACTGGTGTATATGAACAGTCTTTGACACACTGGTGTATATGAACAGTCTATGACACACTGGTGTATATGAACAGTCTATGACACACTGGTGTATATGAACAGTCCATGACACACTGGTGTATATGACCAGTCTATGACACATTGGCATATATGAATAGTCTATGACACACTGGTTTACATTATTAGCCTATGACACACTGACATACATGACTAGTCTATGACACACTGGTGTACGTGATGACTAGTTTATGACATGACACTTTTACACACAATGACTATGAGACATGGTGCGCTGTTTGGAATAGAATTAAAAAAATTACCTCCTCCTGAACTGGAACAGACACAATATATTCTTGTCTAGCATGTGCCATACCAACAGTTCTCATTCCCCCATGGGATGAGTCAAAGGTAATGAAAGCATTCTCTACTGGTGAGCTTGACAGGATTTCTGACGCTATCAGTTCCATTTCATACAAATCTTCAAAACACTGCTCAATCAGCTCCTGCTCTCTCAGTTCCTCTTCAACCTATGAACATTGAAAGCATTCAGTAACACCTCTATCGTGATATTGAAACATTCATTCACTGGTGTCTGTGCAAAACACAAGGAATACTCCCCCTATGGGTTCTAGAGCTCCATTTTGGGGAACCTAACAGACATAACTAATTAGAAGTTTGCTGAAATCGGATGTGCTGGGCTGAAAGACACAACTATCATAGCCTAGCTTTCAACCACAACCCAATATGCCAACCACCCTTTTAAGGGTGAATGCAGAAAAAGAAGGATTACAACTGTATGACAAAATTAGCTAGTGAGCTTAGGGTAAGATTTCAATAAAATGCAGCAAATTAAGAAGCGAGGAAAAGATGCTGATGCTGCATAAGACAGATGTGGGAAAACCTGATAATAGTGAAGTTAGAATGTCTTGTCACTGGAACCCACAGAGCGCAAACATATGGAGGCCTGTGGCGAAAAAATGAAATTAGAAAAGACAATTTTAGATTGATTAATAACAGGGAGGACATGGAATGAGCCGCAGCAGACAGTAAATAATAGGACGGCTTGACTTAACTATGGGCATACCAGTGTGGGTTCCGAGGCCACATGTTAGGGAAAACAAAAAACAAGACTCACTGCCTCCTCAACAGGCAGGTCCTAAGAGTCAACTAATTTGCGGCTTCCTTTAAAGTCAGGATGTATCTGCCTGAAGCACAGGACCAAAAGTCTGCACATAAATAAGTCAGGTCTATAAAACAGATGTGCATGCAATGCTCGGGTTCTGAAACAAGTCTAGAATTGGATGAACTACCAGAACTTTGCTGGTGTTTCCCAACAGAATAATAATCATTATTCAAAAATTTTTTTTATTTGCACCTTTTGATTAATAATTCCTTCAATTTTTCTGAACCAGGTTTCCCTACTCTCTACATCATGCACTCTCTCAGCTGAACGCTGAAGTTGGTACAGCCTTTTCCTGGATCTTTACTTGAAGCTGTAGTAAGGCCGTAGTCCGCTGCTGATCACTGGCAGTAAAGCCAAAGCCATGCTGTAGTGGCTAGATGCTCACTTGCAGATTTGAAGCTCATGGGTTTAGGTCCTGACAAAGCATTATTTAAAAAAAAAAAAAAAAAAAATGACTGTCCCCCAGATCGACGCAGCCTTAAATGTAAAAAAAAAAAAAAGTAAAGGACCCTTTCCACGCCTTTAGGCGTATAGGGCATATAGGGCTAGACCAATATTTTTTTAGACCAGTCGGTACAAGATGGGTGATGTGGTCAGCATCACGCCGGCCGCCTTTACTTTCCCGAGACTGCACCCGGTACCCACTCAAGGCTGGGTCGACCTGGGAGCCAAGGTCATTTTTGAAAAAAGTCCGGCTCCACCAGGGAGCGAACCCACGACTTTCCAATCTGCGGCGAGCGTCTAGCCGCTCGGCCACGGTGACTCCCCAGCCTTAAATGAGTACTAGGTAAAATCCTGGGAAGTAAAAGCAGCCTACATGATGCTGACCACATCACCCACTGAGTGCCAATTGGTTTATAAAATATAGGTGTAGGTCTTTATGCCAAATACCCCCAAAGACATGGAAAAACAGTCCGCAATGAAGCCATTTCAAGCAATAAATCATTGCATCCCTCTCCTGTGCTACATCTGAAGTTCACATAAATTAAATATGAGGTCAAAGAATGACATTATTTATAATTTAAAAACTGACAGACTAAGCAGACATGATAACAGCCAATCTATCGTTCTGAAAGAGCCATAGGATTTTCATGAGTAGAAACCATACTGCTTTGTCTATTAATAACGTCTCATAACTAATAATTCATTTCCTCATATATGAAAGTTGAACATTTTAAGTAAATAATGGGCACTTTTACACCAATATCTTCTTCTTCTTTGTATTCTCCCAACGGAGCACAACCAGGTCAGGTCAAGTTGTTCTATCTTTAGCTACCGTGTGTAGCTCACCCATGTCCCCTCCATCTGTTTCACTTCATTCTGTAATTCCCTTCTTAAAATGTTTTTAGTCTGCCCTTTTTCCTTTTGTCATATGAGTTCCAGTGCTTGTTATACTGTTATAAGGTTTTTTCTCATTGTACCCAGTTTAACAATGTCTCTTCCTCAAATCTTGATTCAACAGAATTTTAGTTCTATCCCAAAGCTCCACATTACTGTTGATATCATTTCAGTTAATTTAAAAATAGCGGCTGGTAGAATGGTTAAGAATGTACGCTCTCATACGGAAGACCCAGGTTCAAATCCCCTAAGTCCTGAAGCTCAAATGCCCCCGAGCCTATTCTGCAAACAATTGTAAATACAAGCAGTAACTTGCAGTTATACTATTTAATTGCTTATATTCTGCACAAGAACTTCATTAACATATTAAACCAGAAATGTTTAATCATGCTGCTGATCTATTCTCTCTTCTTTATTATTCTGAATTGAACTTCATTTGTGTGGTAGTATAATAATTAAACCTCCCAACATATTCTGTCGGCATATGTGGCCTAGGTATTGTGAACATGCTTCGTAATGCCAGGGTGCTGGGTCCGATCTCAGCTGCAGGCATTTTGGTAGCACACTATTTTGCATTGTTTTTGATAGTGGTACTGAGAAACTTTTCAGAAAACAATGGCAAACTAATAAAGGTAAATTTGTCTAGAAAAACCACGTCAACCAAAAAAATGCCTAGGTTGGTTCTGCAACATCCTGTAAAGGATTTGCAACTAACTTGTTAAGATATTCCACTTCAATTGAACATTATTAGGATTGTGCTTGCTCTCGAAATTGAGAAGAATGTGAAGGAAGACTCAGAGTAGATAAAGATGCTGGAGCTTGAAATATCAGGCCTTCACATGCTCTAGGCCTCAGCATTTAAAAATCACTCCATCATGTCAGGGGCGAGATTTCATGCCAGCTCTCTATGCCATGGTGGTTCCCAAAGGTTGTCCTATGTTGTAGGGGGTTAGAATATGCGTTCTTTCAGCTTCGCCATCTATACACACCATTTAGAAAAGCAGCTTCCATTCATTTGAGGCCCGACATGAAAGTGTGCAGCTCTTCCGTGGCAGGTGACATTAAGGGAATCTTTTTTTTTTTTTTTTTTTTGTGAGCAAATGAGTCTTCAACTAGTTTTGTTTTCTCTGTCATTTAGATTTCTTGTGCAACCATCACTGAAATGAGAATTGGTGACATTTTGAGGTGGGCCCTGAGGAAGGTCAAGTCACCAATTAATGCCACAGTGATGGCGATGAAGAGTGAATGCACAATGCAACTGACACACACAGTGCTGGCCACTCACAACATGTAAAATAGATATAATGCTTACAGCATTTAACATAACAAAACACGACACCCCTAGAACATAGGACAGATGTTGGAAACCCCAAAACTTCATACCACTGTTGCTAGTTTGTGTCCCTGGTAGGATTATTTGTCAAACTGTCTCTATGATGTTTTATGAATTTATGTTTCACAACATGAAAATTAAAAAAGTTCCAGCATAAGTTCTGATACCTTATTTAGAATAGTAGGTATGGAGGAGGGAGAGGACCGACTGCGACTTAACAAGCATGACATAAAAGGCTTGTGATTAAGGTTTGCAAAAATGATATGTTTGGCAGAATGATAAAAATATCTCCCTGGCTGTAAACCGCAACACAACTTGCTAACAGTCCTTTTAATGGCAAATAAAGAGAAACATTACAAATATAAACCACCTTATTACTGACAGTGATAACACAAAAGGGTAGAAACAATTTACTTGTCTGTCAAATTCATCCATTTCTTCCATCCACATATACTCAGAAAAGTCAACTTCTTGGTTTTGGATGATAGGAATAATTTCTGGTTCTTCATCATTCAACAACGGAGCTGGTGTTCGCATGTTCATTTTTGCACTAAGGGGAAAAATGTAGTCAGCAAATGTAATACTATGAACGTAAAATCTATAATAAATGCAAACATATCAACCATTAGAGATATGGGCTATCTTCTGAATGACAGTCCCAAATTATCGAGGCCGAAAATATACCCTAACAGGGCCTCAGTCACATGTAAACTGCGGACTTTAGGTGACTTAAATTGCGCACTTCCCGCGACTACCGCCACAGCCGAGAGTATCTCCCACGCTGCTACGTACGGCGTGGATGGGGGCTAAACTAGATGGCTGGGACTCACGAGCAGCAGCTACAGCATCTCCTGCAGCTTCCTTCATTTTATTTGCTTGTGAGTCCCAGCCATCTAGTTTAGTCCCACTCCACGCCGCTAAGCGCAGCATCGGAGATACTCTCCGCGGTGGCGCTATTTACACGTAACTGAGGCCCTGTTAGGGTATATTTTTGGCCTTCATAATTTGGGACCGTTATTTGGAAGATAGCCGAGATATGCTCTATATTCTCTGGAGTTATGATTAGGTACATAATACATGTACGTATTACCCAGAATTATGCTACAACAACATAAGCAAATACAATGGTTGTTCTCCTGACAAGTATGCTGTGCAGTGCTAGCAATCATATCTGCCCACAACCCTCTGTCCTATGTAGTGTCAATCATGTTTGACACATATTCCTCAATACCATATGCAAAACTGCTCAATACCATTTCTCTTAGTCTACTTCCAACCATCCAAATCTCACAACATACTCTAGTTTTTCCCTTCTCATAACATGCTGAAAAATTGTTTACCTGTGATGTGGGCAATCAGTTCTCTTTGTGAGGTAATTGTTGTTAATATATTTTCATAACACTTGTTATCTGTTTATTGTGTTTTCCGCCACGGTTCACTGGATTAATTTTACTGCCGAACAAACATCAAGAGGGATTTTTCTTCTTCAAATCCTCGGCTCCAACTGCAACTCAGCCTAACGTACTAGGTAATGTCCTGGGACGTGCTGACCACATTACCCGCAATGTGCCAAGCAGTCTGTCTATACAAGTACTCGTAATGTCCTGGGAAGTGTTGACTAAATCACCCACCATGTGCCAAGCAGTCTGTCTATACAAGTACTCTGTAATGTCCTGGGAAGTGTTGACTAAATCACCCACCATGTGCCAAGAAGTCTGTCTATACAAGTACTCTGTAATGTCCTGGGAAGTGTTGACTAAATCACCCACCATGTGCCAAGAAGTCTGTCTATACAAGTACTCTGTAATGTCCTGGGAAGTACTGACCACATCACCCACAATGTGCCACAAGTAGGAGTCTAGCATCATATGCCCAATGCCCACCAGTGTAAAAAGGGTCCTTTAGTTCTATTTACTTACAATGAGGTAAAACAGAATCAATAATTAGGGCAGGTGATATTCTAGTGATGCTTAGGAACCAGTTAAATTAAATATTTAAGGGATTAGTATAAAGCAAGTCGGCTATCCCCTGAATAACAGGCACTAAAGATGGCGGCCAATCGCGGCCAAAAAGAGGGCCTCAGTCACGTGTCAATTGCGCACTTCCGGCAACTTAATTTGAGGTTTTCCGGTGACTACCGCCACCGCCAAGAGTTCCCTACGCCGCTCATGCGGCGTGGATTGGGGCTAAACTAGATGGCTAGGACTCACGAGCAAAGCTGCAGGAGATGCGGAAGCTGGTGACACGTGATTGACTGAGGCTCTGTTAGGATGTTTTTGCGGCCGCCATATTTAGTGTCCATTATTCGGAGGATAGCCAGCAAGTCAATGTTGTCAGGTACGGGGTTTCTCAACAACAGCAGATGGAACATTACATGAAACTGAACAGTCCAAGCAAAAGTAGCATTTCACATGATACAAAATATGGGCGGGCAGGAAAATCTATCAGAAATGACTCCAGTTATACGAGATAGAAAGATGTGGGCAGACATGAAGACGAAAGTCGTGAAATGTGGTATTAATTCATGGAGATGAATAAATGTGTTTGCATGTTTATTTTTGGTTTAAGGCGCTATAATGACAATATGTTAGTCGACAGAACATCCTCACTTCACTGTACCTCGAAGCATTCAGTTCATAAGTTTTCAGATCCGTCCGTAGTAAAAAAAAATATAGCTGGATGTGTTTGCTAATTAGGAGCTATAATTTGACAAGCCTTTGGCTTTTCTCATCACCTGGTAGCACTGATGACCACTCAAATCGGGGACAACGAATATAATCTCTCACTGAAGACAGTCACAGACAATCACCAAAAATTTTAGGTCGGGAAATTTTAGCTTTCAGTTTTGCTCCCATGAACTGCATTCCGTGCAACACACAAATGCATTAATGGATCCATGTCATAAACAGCATATCTGGCGTGTTTTATAAATGCATAAGTGACATAAAACGTAGACGGTGAGCAAGACAAGGCCATAGACTCACCTTGAGTGTCACGGAATTCACAATTGTCTCACAAGAACAAGGCAGTCGACCAGGCATTTATTGGTAAACAACCACACTGTCCTATCACACGGAAGACCTACCGCCACAGCATATAGACCGTTACATATATTATTTGCTTGGCTTCAGAAATGCACTCTATTCTATTAAAAAGAATTAAATACAGAAAGTGCTAAAATGTTAAAAATGTTTCATGAAAATATTTAATGAAATTTTTTAAGCGTATGAATTTGAATGACGTTGACAGGTTTGCCTAAATTTAACGTGACCTGAGTGGGGTCATGACCTTTGAGTTAAACTGCTGCTTGCAGCTAGTAATCACGACAACAGAGGAGGCTTACAATTGTTTTGGCTGGGCAATGCACCGTGGGTCATGCTGGAAGCTGGAAGACTAACCTACCCACCAGTTTGAAATTAGAAAAAAAATCAGGAACTTGTAAGCCGTGGTCATGGCCATGACAGCAAACACACTCCACAGCACGAATGGTTTTGGTAAGGTCAACATCATTGCAGAAAATCAGAGCTATCATCCGAGGTCATTTGGTTTGTTTTTTTTAGTATCCAGAAGCATGAGTTGTTAACCCTTAGGCTCGGTATTATGGATATCGCAACCCTTCGGCCTTGATTCCATTGTAAATACCGTAAATCTTAGAGAAAATGTGGCTTTCCTGCCTACCCCCTGGATTGAACCCGGACCACAAGGTCTTTACTTCTATGAGACGAGCTCCGACAGACGGATAAACACAACGGTGCTTTTCTGATACCGCAGCTTCTGTAGCATTTGTGTTAAAAATATCTTGGTGTTACCTTTCCCTATGTGTCAACAAAGCAGGCTAAGTGAGGTATATTCTGCATGGGCCACAAACGGTCTGTACAATACTGTTCACCCAGGCTGTGTGGAATGGAAAGGGTGAATTCACCCCTGGCCTTAATTGTATAGTCAATATCTATCTCCTTTTTCTTCTTTGATCCTTTTGTCCAAAAAAAATTGTACCAGGAAGCCGGTAGCCTTTATGAAAACTATTGTGCAGTTCATATCTTCTCATGTACCACAAGCTTTGTCTTCATTGTGGTTAGAAGGGCCAGATTGCGTCTCTGTAGGCAGCATACAGTTGACAGTGTTGGAGCACATACTCAGCATTTTCTGATGACAAGTCTGTTGTGCCCGGTCCTCAGTCTGAATATAAAACATCGTCCCTCTCTAGAGAGGTGATAAAATGAGTCTTGAGAGGAAAATTGTGTGTATGTGTATCCAGCCGCCTTTCTTGGATACTATATTGTATTATTATCTTAATCTCTTGGTGGGTTAGGTCACTATCTGATTGCGATATGTCCCTGCCGGTTCTGGAAAATCTGCCCGCTACTTCACTGCTTTCCAAGCCACAGTGACTTTGAATCAACCGCAGAGCAGATTGCTCTAATGACGAGCCTAAGTGAATAATCTGTTGCATCGAGTCTGCAAACTGTGTATCTTTAGTGTTAACAATTGCTTGTAGAACTGACATAACGTCAGTCAGAAAGACGACTCAGCTAATTTGCTGTGCTGTTGTCCGTTCAGGAAAGAACAAGTCACCATGTCTGTGATCCCCATGGCTTTCTTTAGCCTAATTCGGCAGCCTTTACTTCTATGAGCATTTACTGCTACCCATTTTAGAACGGACTGATATCCCATGTCTATTACAAAACTTTCTCTCTATGGAACTTTAAACATTGACTCTGTGCAAGCTGTCGGTCACTGCTTCCAGGATAATACAAGTGACACCATCGGATGAGAATCACTAGGGCGCAAGTCCTCAAAACCCGTTCAACCGTTAGGTTATATTTAGGGCCCCTGAATACAGCTGGGGCAACGCTTAAATATTAAAATGTATACAAAAATGATTTGACTGACTGACTTTCTACCCCACCAGGACATCACACAAGCGATAAACACCCGATGACACAAAGTGCCACCATGTGGGTGAGGATCACAGTGGAGAGGTCCCAGAAACCGCGTTCAGACAATTGGCCATATTCATGGCCTGCCTATATTGCAGCCCCTGGCAAAAGCCAGAGTTGGGCTTCAAATAACAAAAAAAATTACGTCCTAAAAAGGACGTAAGGATTTTAAACACACAAAAAATGATTTGATCATGCATCTGGAAAATACCGCTAGACCTGTAATCTTTTTATGGGTCAAAATCATTCCAGGCCGCCTTTACTCACGGGACATTACCTGGTACCACTTTAGGTTGGTGAACCTGGGAGTTAACATTTTTTCGGGCCGACAGACATGCTTTTCGGGCCAAGAGGCAAGCTTTTCGGGCCGACAGACATGCTTTTCGGGCCAAGAGGCAAGCTTTTCGGGCCGACAGACATGCTTTTCGGGCCAAGAGTCAAGCTTTTCGGACTGACAGGTCAGCGTCTAGCATTACGCAACTGTGGTGCTCGCTTCCATAATGGATTCATTATCTGAATAAAAGGGGAAATAATTATAACAGCTTCATACGCTTTTCATGTTTTACTTGTTTATGTCCCTTTATAACCACTTATTGATATCGC